CACAGATAAAAGAACATTGCCAATATCACCTGTAAGGAGCCTTACCTGGTCCACAGATAAAAGAACATTGCCAATATCACCTGTAAGGAGCCTTACCTGGTCCACAGATAAAAGAACCATGCCAATATCACCTGTACGGAGCCTTACCTGGTCCCAGATGAAAGGGCCATGCCTATATCACCTGTACGGAGCCTTACCTGGTCCACAGATAAAAGAACATTGCCAATATCACCTGTACGGAGCCTTACCTGGTCCACAGATAAAAGAACCATGCCAATATCACCTGTACGGAGCCTTACCTGGTCCACAGATAAAAGAACAATGCCAATATCACCTGTACGGAGCCTTACCTGGTCTACAGATGAAAGGGACATGCCAATATCACCTGTATGGAGCCTTACCTAGTCCACAGATAAAAGAACAATGCCAATATTACCTGCACGGTGCCTTACCTGGTCCACAGATGAAAGGGCTATGTAAATATTACCTGTACAGAGCCTTACCTGGTCCACGTTACTGTACCCTCTAGTGGACCCTGGCATGTTATCTTTCTATTTGGCCGATTTCTACTCTTTCCAGCCGCCACCCTAAGCTTGATAGTAAGAAGGGACACGCAATTTCAACGACTGCACAATGCAAAATTACGCACGTCGTACTGTAATGTAAACAAGAAGGTTAAATACAAATTTACAAGATTTTAAACCTCCTTGAATATAACGTTAGCCATATAACCAAATATGATGTTTTGGCGGTAGATCCCCTCCTAAAATCCACTCAAATATTATATGTGTGGTGCCTTTCCTGGTCCCCCGAGCTTATAGCCACAGAAATGCAGTAAATTTAGTTGTAAAAGCTGACGTTTTTGCACCTAAAATCGAGGCAAAGACGTCGGTAGCCCTCCCCACACTAGCGAAACCGCGATTGCATGCGAAACTATTGCACCCCGTTACTGTTTTTGATCGACCAATGGGATTGTGTCGATTATATAGCATTGACCAATAGGAGTGTGGCTCTTCCACCGTGGCTGACCGAACTGGGGAGACGACTGCAATACCTCGTTCCCAGCATGCTTTGTGTTGTGACACTTTTGCCACCTGTCAAGTTGGCCTCGCCTGGACAGACATTGGTATCTAGAAATTAAAAAAAAAAAAAACATTAATGAAATGTTTAAATTTATAATGATTCGTTAAGTTGAAAAAACAGACGATAAAGGAGACACTTGTTTGGACAACATTCGGCCGATTTTGCTTATTATATGGTCTAATTACTGTTACATGTAACGTCACTATGTTCTTATTGTAAGTATTCCAAATCTGCGTGTACCCTTTTGAAGCTACCACCGGCCGATTTTGTTTTCCTCTTCGAATTCCTCTTCACATAATATTAGATTGCTTAGGCTGTTGTATTTTGATTTCCGCAACGACGCCTTTCTGTTTAAACAGAAAATGCACTTTCCGTCTTGAACCTGCACACCCAGTTCTGCAGTACCATTGTTCAAAGCAGCAGTGACAAAACACGGTGCCAGCGGTTCTGCCGACGAGGCTACCAAAGCGGACGACGTCGTTCAGACATTACTTAAGCCAAGCCCCCCTTCTCTATCAAAGGTAAGTAATCTGTTGTCGGTTTATTCGAGTGCAGTTATCCTATTTCTTGAGACATATGTCCAATTCGTCCGTCTATATTCTCCATATGGGAAAATGAAACTGGAATCTGAGCGTTATGGGTTATAAGGACATTGTGTTTGGAAAGAAAATTCATTGACGATAACAACTGTATGCTTTTGCCCCGAATTCATGCGTATGGGTAAGCTACCGATTTTAATCTGTGTAATAAGTGTTGTATTTTCAAGTTGTCAGTTGAGATAAATGTACATATGTCTACTGAAAAAAATGGCGCTACTAGACCGTTATGGCTCAGTGCATCCGACACCTTGACCAGGTTTAAAATCATAGAACTGTGTGTACGTGTGTCATTGAGTTATTGGCGTCCCAGATCTAGACTGCTTTTTAATTGTGTCAGGCTATGGTTTGATATAAAAGCTTCAAGTGAAGTGACCATTTCCAGCCCGACATACACGTCTACATGTATATGTTGAAAGTTGGTCGGCGTATCATCATGGCGGGAGTGGCATTCGGGGAACTCCCTTCGTCACCGAAAACACGTGGGTTCTTTCTTTCTTTTGTTCAGCTCCAGGTAAGGAGATCTTGTTTTGGTTACGTTGTCATCGTGGTTCCTTTGTCCTTTTATTTTCTCTTATATATATAGACTGGCTTATGCTTGACGTGTAAACATGGATGGCAGTATGATCATCATCATGCAGATCCTGGTTGCGCTGTTGGCCCTCCTCATGGGGCTACTCATGGTTTCCTTACAGTACAGCCGTCTGAAACATCGGCCGACATGTAATTGTAAGTGCACTAGTTTTAACTAGCACTACACAGTTTTAACCAGCCTGTTAACACGAAAGGAGAAGTGCTATCATATATCAAGTTCCATTGTCCATGACATTCCGGCTCAGCCAATTGCCAATTTACGTGATTATGGGGTATTTATAGTGACGAATTGCATTCATTTAGGTTCTTATTTTTTTATTTATTACTTGGGCCACGTGCACGTTGAATTGACTATATGGATAACATCCACGCTCGCATGAATTTTCGTCCTTTTCCAAAAAAAAAGGTTTCGACCATACAGTAAATCGTACAAAGTTACTGCAAAATTATGATATGACGAAGATTTTAAAAAATATTGGAGAACGATACTAATGTCGTCAAAGGAAAAGAAGAAAATGTGAAGAAATTAAAATCATTTGTATCATTCGCCATACCATGTGTTTAGTCATTTGTTCAACCTTCATGACCACGTAAATTTCATAATGAAGGCAACTTTTTTTTGCAAAATGTTTTTATTCGCACGCTCGCATATGAGTTTTGAGGTTCCCAGAGGATGTCACCCATATAATCAAATCAACATGGCCTTATACATGTAGTAGGTTGTGTTATGTACACATCCAAGGTATTTTACAAGCAACGTGTGCCGTATTGCGTAATGGAATATTTTCCACCACTACCCCCCCCCCAACTAAAAAATATTGCGAAATTTTAATTTGAACAGTATCATAACACGAAGAATTTGTGTGATGCTTATTATCATTATCTATTTATTTTTATATTCTTTAGCCAAGATGGCTGCCTATGTGACAGTATTACTTTTCCTTTTATCCAAAATGCAACGTGTAACAGCAACGCACTGTGGCGCACGAGGCAGAGGATCAGACCAGAGAAGAGTAGAGCACAGGCAAAACCACGCAAATGTTCGTGGTGACAGAAACGTGGTGATCCAGTTGCATGACAGTGCTACAGCGACTGTTACCATTCCAGAAGAAGGTACTACAGGGATACAACCTCGTTGATCTCTAAACTTTCTGATTCACTCTTTGAAAAGGACAAACTAAACTCGAGGTTTAAATAGACTGGAATAGTAGACAATACATAGTTAATACAATCATTGTATGATTAACAACAAAGTCCCTATTCGTGTGAATTAAGATATTTGAACAATTCGATCCGACAATTTGACCGTGTAGTTTCAAATATGACTTTGTTTTGTTATTACCTCCATGAAAAATGGAGGTATTGTTTTTGGCGTGTCTGTCTGTCTGTCTGTATGTATGTATGTATGTCTGTGTGTGTGTCTGTCTGTGTGTGTTTCCGCAACTTTGTGGTCAGCATAACTTCATAACGCCTTTATGGATTATGATGATATTTGGTATGTTGGTAAGTCTTAGAAAGACAAACGTCAAGGTCAAATATGGGCCTCCTGGTGGATGACCTTGGTACTGCAGCAGAACTTCCGGTTTTTGTATCTTTTGTCCTGAACAAGCTATGGTCTTGACTTTTTGGTGATAGATAGCTTATCCTGTCAGGAATAAGTGGTGTGAGTTTGGTCCCCCTAGCAGCTTGCTCTGGAACTGCAGGGCACTTTCTGGTGAAATGTTTAAAAGCCAATAAGTCCAGATAGGAACAACATATTTTCATAATTTTTGGTGTGTAGGTAGCTGAGAGAGAGATGTACATGATTAAATGCAAATTATGCAAATGAGGACTTTATTTGCATAATTAATGAGGAAATTCTATAATTACAGTGTTTTACATTATACTAGTTTCATACATGTAATGTGTGTAACCTGTGGCAGGCGGGACATCAACAGATACTAATTATGCAAATTATGACCTAATTTGCATAACTTATGCAAAAATTCTATGATTTCTTAATGGTGAATGATGGGAATGTCATACTTGGGACATCTGTAACTTAATCACAAGTTAACATACATCATGATGCATATATCATGTTAATGCAGAGGTAATTTGCATAATTAAAGAAGAAATTTACATTTACATATCAAGCCCATATTTCATGGAGGTATGAAATCTTGGAATTCTTGTTGGTTAGTGTTTTGCATTGTTTAGTAATATTAGTTTTATTCGTATAAGTTAACATAAGTTACCTAACTTGAGCCCGTCGTCACTTTGTCCTGTACCCTTATTACCTCCATGAAAAATGGAGGTATTGTTTTTGGCGTGTCTGTCTGTATGTCTGTCTGTGTGTCTGTGTGTGTGTCTGTCTGTGTGTGTTTCCGCAACTTTGTGGTCAGCATAACTTCAGAACGCTTTTATGGATTGCGATGATATTTGGTGTGCTGGTAAGTCTTGGAAAGACAAAGGTCAAGGTCAAATATGGGCCTCCTGGTGGATGACCTTGGTACTGCAGCAGAACTTCCGGTTTTTGTATCTTTTGTCCTGAACAAGCTATGGTCTTGACTTTTTGGTGATAGATAGCTTATCCTGTCAGCAATAAGTGGTGTGAGTTTGGTCCCCCTAGCAGCTTGTTCTGGAACTGCAGGGGACTTTCTGGTGAAACCTTTAAAAGCCAATAAGTCCATATAGGAACAACATATTTTCATGATATTTGGTGTGTAGGTAGCTTAGAGAGAGATGTACATGATTAAATGCAAATTATGCAAATGGGGACTTTATTTGCATAATTAATGAGGAAATTCTATAATTACAGTGTTTTACATTATACTACTTTCATACATGTAATGTATGTAACCTATGGCAGGCAGAACATCAACAGATACTAATTATGCAAATGACGACCTAATTTGCATAATTTATGCAAAAATTCTATGATTTCTTAATGGTGAATAAAGGGAATGTCATACTTGGGACATCTGTAAGTTAATCAAAAGTTAAGGTCTCGGACCGGAGTTTTTTTCACGATTTTGGATCCGGCGGACACCCTCAGACCGAAGGGCTATAACTCCGCCAAAAAAGTACGCCGGGAAATCTCATTACATCAGTCAACGGAGGTTTCCAGCCGGCTTTCGATACAATTTTGGTTATTGTCCGTCGACTCTATAATTTGGGTAGAAACTGTAGTTAAACGTAAATTTTGGATACGAAAAATGTAGTTTTTTTGCAGTTTTTTTCAACGGACCTGCTTGGAAAAAACGAATTTTCCCAGGCTAACGGCTTATATGCTGAAGTAGCTTACTACTTTCTGTTTCTGAAAAACAGAAAAAAAAATAGGTTGTTGCGATAAGTTTTTCGCAAAATCCGGTGACGCGAACCCCTAGAAATTCCACATAGAACGCAGCTATTTGGGTCATCAGGCGACAAACCGCATCACCCTTGCTCGCGGACTAAGGCCACACCAAGTAAATTTTATGGATGACGTCCGCGCGCGCATTGATTTTGGCCTGTTCCTAGAAAAAAAACCAAGAAATTCCACTTCCTGTAACTATGACCAAAGAGTCACGACAGTGCCGCAAATCGTCAGATTGACGTGAAACCCGTAACGCGAAAACAGGACAGGACGACAACTGCTGTTCCACCTAATTTATTACTGTTTTGATGATGAATAAAAGACTTCTTGCTTGTTACACTGTTGTCACCTCATTCAATTTGTGTCCTAACATTTGTCGTCTCTTAGTATATTTCTGATCTAGGCCTCTTGTTTTTTAGGGCCCTTCTTGTTTTTTTTTCGCCCTCTCGCATTAGATTTAGGGTCTCCAAAGGACGTCATCCATGAAATTTACTTGGTGTGGCCTAATACCAAAACGCTTCGCTGGCCGTCCAACTTCACCGCGCCGAAAAACACTACAATCCCAAGGCTTTTTGATCAATTCAAAACCTAGTTGAAAATCTACAGCGATCGCCGAGCTATGGGGAGCCAAACCTAGCGTGACAACCTCGCAGGTCCGGCGATTTACTGCGCACTATTTGGAACCCTGGTTAGAATTAAACTCCGACCCGGAACCTTAATTAACACACATCACGATGCATATATCATGTTAATGCGGAGGTAATTTGCATAATTAAAGAGGAAATTTACATTTACATATCAAGCCCATATTTCATGGAGGTATGAGATCTCGGAATTCTTGTTCTGTTATTATCTACTTTTGTTAGCCATACAGTCTTTGTTATATGTCCCAGTGTTACTAATTTTTACCTCCATCAAAAATGGAGGTATTGTTTTTGGTGTGTCTGTCTGTCTGTCTGTCTGTCTGTCTGTGTGTCTGTCTGTCTGTGTGTGTGTGTGTTTCCGCAACTTTGTGGTCAGCATAACTTCAGAACGCCTTTATGGATTATGATGATATTTTATATGTTGGTAAGTCTTAGGAAGACAAACGTCAAGGTCAAATATGGGCCTCCTGGTGGATGACCTTGGTACTGCAGCACAACTTCCGGTTTTTGTATCTTTTGTCCTGAACATGCTATGGTCTTGATGTTTTGGTGACAGATTGCTTTTCCTGTCAGGAATAAGTCGTGTGAGTTTGGTCTACCTAGCAGCTTGTTCTGGAACTGCAGGGCACTTTCTGGCGAAATCTTTAAAAGCCAATAAGTCCAGATAGGAACAACATATTTTCATAATTTTTGGTGTGTAGGTAGCTGAGAGAGAGATGTACATGATTGAGTGCAAATTATGCAAATGAGGACTTAATTTGCATAATTAATGAGGAAATTCTATAATTACAGTGTTTTACATTATACTACTTTCATACATGTAATGTATGTAACCTATGGCAGGCAGAACATCAACAGATACTAATTATGCAAATTATGACCTAATTTGCATAATTTATGCAAAAATTATATGATTTCTTAATGGTGAATGATGGGAATGTCATACTTGGGACATCTGTAACTTAATAAAAAGTTAACATACATCATGATGCATATATCATGTTAATGCAGAGGTAATTTGCATAATTAAAGAAGAAATTTACATTTACATATCAAGCCCATATTTCATGGAGGTATAAAATCTCGGAATTCTTGTTGTACCCATGTTATGTTTTCTATATGTATTTTGGTTTTACATGTTGTATCGTTTTCTCGTTAACTGGCCCCCTTGGAAATCAGCAAAGAATAGCTGTAGGGCCAAGCCAGTTAAAATAAGTAAATAGATGAAATTAATAGATAAATGACTAAATTCCCAAATAAAGCCAGATTTTGAGCATATGATGGAATTGAAGCTACTAATTCTTTCAATGCGTCCGCAACATTACAGAACGCGAAACCCCAGATGATGAGCTGGTTCTTCGACGAACACACAGGAGAGAAAGGCGCTCAGAAGATGGTACAGAAGAGGTAGATGAAGTCATCTACGAATTCTTCAACAACTCCGAAGGTCGCCATCTCGCCAACACTGCTCTATCTTTCACGTATGAAGGGGCCATAGTTGAGTCTTCAGAACTAGGCTCTGTTTGGGTTTTAATATCGGTCCCAAATATACAAACTGCAAATCTGCTTCAAAAAGATGCCACAAATGGCAAGCTTGAGCGTACCATAATCCAAATTCTTCGGCAGTCTGGAAAACCGATCTTGGTCAATGGTAATCTAAAGGTGACCATAATCGAGGTGAACATTCGACCTCTGTCGCGTAGTAAGAAACATGAATTCGCAGCTACAAGCAGCCAAATGGTAACGGCGGTGAGCAAGGTCTCGACGACGAAGCCAGGAGGAATCCTCGCTGAAAGTTGGCGGACCACAATGGCTGGAATCGGCCAGCTCAAGAAGGGTCTCCTTTACATGATGTCGGCTAGCGGAGATGGTCCGGTGGAACAGGACAGCCAATCCGATCGAGTGATGGTGGAAGTGAGGTTCACTACAGACGTATGCCCGGAAGACACGGGCATCGCATCACTGCGTCATTGCCCGGATAAAGGTCCCAAATTTGCTCAGCCCTCTTCTGGAAGCACCGAGTGCCACAATATGCCCCCTGCATGGCAAAGTGGTCCTGACCCGGGTAGGTCACATCGACCATCTTTGGACCCACCAGACCAGACACACAACAACCAAACCAAGCCGAGCCACGAGCCATCTTCAACTACAAAGGAACAGCAACGAGGAGACAACAGCGCGCCAGCGAAGTCACAAGCTATAACAGTAAAGACAGCTTACACAGGTATGTGTTCGGGATGCCTAGTAACAGGTATATTGTATAGCCCTAAGTGCCCTATTGTCATACGTTACTTGTCATACCAAATTAACTATTTCAAAACCCGCAACCAGCTGTGTCACTATCACAAAAGTGCACCAAAACATTTCTGGAAAACCCATACAACAATTTTCACACTCTACAAGAATTATGACCTTGTAATTAATATGCGTTTGATTTACTATTACACAAAAATACATTGTATGTGTCTATAAGAGGCTGTTTCTACATGGCATAGAATAAAGAAATGGAAAGATATCCAATGGTTGTCGTAGCGAATCGCAGATAAGATATTGAGCCTTATGTATATAGAATTCTGTTTGTTTTTCAGCCCACGTATCGACTCTTGGTCATGTATGGTATAAGTCGCCGGGATATGCTGGCCAAGGTGCGTTTGTTGTCGATTTATTTTGTTTACCGAAAGAAAGCATATTGTTTTTGCTCAGTTTCTTCTTCCTCTTCTTCTTATGCTTCTTCTTCTCCAGAAGGTGACTTCAATGACCTGAACCAGTGTTGTGTCTGTTGCCATGATAACTAGTGTTGGGTTACATCATGTTGCAATTTTGTAGTAGGAGGGATCTATGCTCCTGTCTGACCATATACATGAATGAATGTGTTTGTATGAGTAAGAATTAACAGAGCAGACCATATGTATGCGAAGGCAAATATTATGCATTTGCCTTGCAAATGTTACCTTAGTTTAGTGCTTCACACCATAATCGGTTTTCTTTTACAAATGGGTCAGATAAGAAAGGTGAACATTTTCAATTTAGTAAAAACATGTTTTCTGTTACTTTAAGCCTCTGAACGAATTCTTGATCTTAAATGACGCATGTAGAGCTACAGTACAACTTGTGCATCATTTTCAAACAGTTGATAATAATGATCATCAACATTTCTTCTAGATTTGCGCGTGGATCGTACAGTCGTCCGTTATACTCTGTTCCTGGAAACACTGATAGAAGAAGGTAGGTGCATCGTCGCTAATTCCACCATCTCAAACATGCAATAACGTTAAGAGATGGGACTCGTCTAAAACCGGTCTTCGACTTCGTATACAGTTTAATTTTTTTGCACAAAGGTAACTTAGTTGAGGGCTAGCTCAATATCTTACATTGCCATGCAAGCCATCACCACAGATTTGCCTTGTTTGCCTTTTATATGTACCAAAATTCTTTACGATACGATTCTATTGCCGGAGAGAATGTATATATACACTCGACAGCATCATTAACAAACATGAATCCATACTTAACATTTACCTATCCTGTTCAGGCATGTGGGACCAGTTTGAACAAGTGACTGCCATGGCGCTGAAAAAAGTCAGAGATCCTGGTGGAAAAGCTTTGGTTCTGCTCGAGGTAAGATTGATACCAAATGCAATTTGTGTCTTTTCGAATTTCAAAATGCAAATTATGCAAATGAATACTTAATTTGCATAATTAAGGAGAGAATTCTATAATTACAGTGTTTATATATATAGTACTTTTATACATGTAATCTATTTAATCTATGGCAGGTGGACAATCAACAGTACAGATACCAATTATGTAAATGATGACCTAATTTGCATATATTATGTTAAAATGTAGATGTCATTTGCATAATTAATAAGGACAAAAACTCATATTTCATGGAGGTATGAGATCTCTGAATTTTGGTTACCTATTGCAATTCAAGTAACTTAACAGCATTTTCAATTTCTGTGCATTATGGAGAGGGCCAACGAATGGTGTCAGATAAAATTTTCGGTAACATTTGTTCGTTCGTTTCCCCTTTAGATCACCGTGGCCCACATACTGAAGGACCAGCTCGAAATTGCAACTCGATACATGGAAGAAGTTACCAGTTTGGTGTCAACCACGCAGACTCCTCCGCATGTACTACTGGTCTACCTTTATCTCAAGTCTGCCCTTGCAAGGCAGAGATCAGAGCATATGGAAGCCACAGAATCGGTTTTCTTTGCAAAACAGGTTGGTTGTCATATTGTAATATCAATATTGTTCCCGCAAAGAAGTACGTATCTATCTAAAGAAGTAGCAATAGCTAGACTTGTTATGTTTACCGAAAGGAAACATATTGTTTTTGCTACGTTTCCTCTTCTTCTTCCGTTCCAAACACTGACCTCTGACCTGGCCAGTGACCTGATTTGTTGACGTCTCTCACCATGGTAACTGGTGTTGGGTTACATAATGTTGCAATTTTATAGTAGGAGGGATTTATACTCCTATCTGACCATATATATGAATGTATTTGAGCAAGAATTAACAGAGCAGACCATATGCGAGGGTAAACATGATGCATTTGCTTTGCAAATGTTACCTTTCTAGTTGTTTATTGCTTCTCCTTTATTTACAGCTCATCGCAACGGTTCAACCGGGGCGGTACACGGGGTCAGTGAACTATCATGCCGCCCTGTTCTTGCTCAAGAAGAATTGGAAAGAAATGGACGAACAAGTCTTCTTAGAGGCCAAGCAAAACCTGGTGCTGGCGATTGACCATTACGAGCGGGGTATTTCAGGTGAATTAAATCTATATTATAAATATATAACTTGTTACATATAACTTGTTATATATGTCGCCCATGGACATTTGTTGGATATTTTGCTAATGTTTTCTTGTCCTTTTTCAAATGATACTGGTAGATGAAATGTACGGAGCTTCGTGTTTGAAGAAACAACAGAGGGCGTTCATTCGACTGGCTCTGCTGTTGCTGAACTGGAAGGGCCCCATGGGCGTTCCAACCCAGGAAAACCTGACGGCGGCTAAAAACTGTTTGGACCGGGTCGAGCGCAGATTTCTGTACTGGGCAAGTAACCGTCTAAGGTAAGACTTTTCATGCCCTTCTGTACTATAGATTGTAACTCATCATCACACCACGTACGAAATGTGCCCTAGGCCTGCTTGTCACTGCGTCTGTTTCATCCGCGAAGTGAAAACGATCTACAGCTGTATCTGTATCTGTACAGCCGGCGTAACCGCCCTTTGGTGGAACACGTGCACACTAGCTTCGTGGGCTCGCGGCGCGGCGGCAGCTAGCTCACACCGAACGACTTGTTACACCTAATCTTTGTACATTCAATTGCATGAGTTGTTTTAAGTTTTCTATTGACGACGCCCCAACTGTGCTTGGTGGCAACGAGTTCCACTCTCTGATAGTTCTTGGAAAATGTTTGAACAACTCAATTCTTGGTTGATGATTCTGATATTTGAAGGCATGACTGCTTCTTGTTCTTTTCTGGGAAGGCATTAGATTACTTT